CGCCACGCCTTCGAGGCGGCCGGCCTGCGGGAGGAGCGGGGCGACGAGGTGCTGGTGGAGCTGGCCGAGAACGGGCGCCAGGTGCTGGTGCCCAAGCACGAGGTGCAGAAGATGAACCCGCCCAAGTTCACCAAGGTGGAGGACATGGCCGAGCTGACCTGCCTCAACGAGGCCTCTGTGCTGCACAACCTCAAGGACCGCTACTACTCCGGCCTCATCTACGTGAGTGCGGGGCCCCGGCCTCCGAGCCCAGCCCCCCGCCAGCCGGCGAGAGAACCCAGGAGTCCTAGCTCCCCCCTGCTCCAACCACTAGGCATCACTCCCCTCCCAGAGCCTTGGAGAGAACCCAGGAGTCCTAGCTCCCCCCTGCTCCAACCACTAGGCATCACTCCCCTCCCAGAGCCTTGGAGAGAACCCAGGAGTCTTAGCTCCCCCCGCTCCAACCACTAGGCCTCACTCCCCTCCCAGAGCCTGGGAGAGAACCCAGGAGTCCTCGCTCTCCCTGCCCCAACCACTAGGCCTCACTCCCCTCCAAGGGCACATCTAGACTATGTTCTAATTTTGAAAGGATATGCAGATTCCGTGGGAATTTGCATATCGTCTTCCGATTGCCTTTTCGAAAGCCGGTCTTTCAAACGTGAAAGTAGTCTGGATGTGGTTTTTCTTTAAAAAAAACCTTTTTCAAAAAACTGAAAACCTCCTTATTTTTAGGAAGAGTGGGGGTTTTTTTCTTCAAAAAAACTCATCCTGACTACTTTCACTTTCAAAAGACCCGCTTTTGAAAAAGTGATTGGAAGAAGATATGCAAATTCCTGTGGACTTTGCATATCTTCTTTCGAAAAAAAAGCTTCTCCTCTTTGGAAATTTAAACATAGTCTAGACGTGTCCCCAGAGCCTTGGAGAGAACCGAGGGATCTTAGCTGCCCCCTCCCCGCTCCAACCACTAGGCCTCACTCCCCTCCCAGAGCCATGGCGAGAACCTAAGAGTCCTATCTGCTCTAACCACTAGACAACTCCACCCCAAAGATTCCCAGCACCCCTAACATGGAAAGGCCTTGTATCCTCTTCCCTGCCCCCCCCACAGCCAGGAGCCCCCCCTTGCTGTCCTGGGGGGCTGGGACAGAGGTGTGGGGGAGGCGCCGGCCTGGGCTGTGACATCGCTGGAGAGGATCCTGCCTGGATCTGCACCACCCAGCATCCCCACTATGGGGTTGGGGCCCAAACACACCTTGGGGTTGCCCCGGCTTGTGCTACCCCCAGCCGCTGGAGAGGATCCTGCCTGGATCTGCACCACCCAGCATCCCCACTATGGGGTTGGGGCCCAAACACACCTTGGGGTTGCCCCGGCTTGTGCTACCCCCCGC